TCTTCTTCTTCTTCTTCTTCTTCTTCTTCTTCTTCTTCTTCTTCTTCTTCTTCTTCTCAATAGTATCCCCTCCTAAGGATTTGATGGTTACTGAAGTGACAGATAAGACCATAAACTTGGAATGGGCGAACGAATATGCAGTCAATGAATATCTCATCACCTACATTCCGACTAGCGTTGGTGGCTTAGAATTGCAGTTCCGGGTGCCTGGAAACAAAACATCAGCCACCATCCGGGAGCTGGAACCTGGTGTGGAATATTTCATCCGTGTTTTTGCCATCCTGAAGAACAAAAAAAGCATCCCGATTAATGCCCGGATTGCTACTTGTAAGTACTTTATTTATTTATTTATTTATTTATTTTTATTTATTTATTATTAAATTTAGATGCTGCCTCATCTCCCCCAGGGATGACTTTAAAGGCCAAACAAGTCTTTTTTGCTGTTCAATGAGCTATATTTATGGAAAAAAACATACTGCATCAGTTAGCCTATAAGTTTTTGTGTAGCCTGAGGTAGCTGGTGATAGAAGAGATTGAACAGCTCAAAAATTGACATCCAATACATGCTATGCTTAAACTGTCTCCGAGTTTTGGTCATAGTTCCTGTTGACCATCTTCTCATAATTTCATTTAACCATGGTTTACCAAATTACCCCCATTATGAATGGGTGAAAAAAAAAATCATTCAGATCTGTGCTGAAATAATGCTCTTTCCTTCTGCCTGTGCTTTTCAGATTTGCCTGCCCCAGATGGCTTGAAGTTCAAATTAATTAAAGAGACTTCTGTGGACGTTGAGTGGGACCCCTTGGATTTCCCATTCCATGGGTGGGAGATTATCTTTAGAAGCATGGTAAGAAGGATTCTGCCTAGAAAGCTTGCACTGTGGTCCTGCTTTCCCTTCTTCCTACTTTCCTACTTTCACATTTCAATGGTTTGCATTGCAGAAAGAGGAAGATAACGGGGCTATCAGAAGCAGTCTGAAGAGTCCTCAGACATCATACCTGCAACAAGGCCTTGCACCAGGACAGCAGTATAATGTATCTCTTATTATCTTGAAGAACCAAACCAGAGGACCTGCTGTGTCAAGAATCGTAACCACAAGTAAGTAGCCATTGAAGGATGTCAACCAAGCAAAGATAGTGAGAAAAAACATAGCTCCATCTTTTGCCTGTAGTGTCTGTCAGAGATAATCACTGCATCTGTCACTTGAAGGCTTTTAATCATATCAAGGAGGATTCTCCTGTTTTTAGAATGATTAAGAGTATCAGGGCATGGCATAATGGATCTTTTTCTAGGAAGGGACCAATCAGTTCCTGATTTGGATGGAGATTGTTGATCAAATCTGATTCAACAATTTACATCCATTCCGAAATGAACTTGATTGGACATTTCAGTTCAAAGCATTGCATTGGGACAATTCAAATTTTTTTTAATTGATTCAGGAGAACACTTTTGGGCATGCGTGACAGACCTTCCCATCAATTCAGAGTCATCCCATTCAATTCTGCAAGTCTGATATTCTGATCCCGTCTGGAGCAACAATTCAGTTCAGAGATGCAATCAAATTGGCTTGAAATTTGCAGAGCCCTCATTTTCTTTGTATTTTATAGATAGGACAATGTATAATTTGGGGAAGAAAACCGTTTATTAACTATTGAAAAGGGAAGAGAAGAAAACATGGAAAAATGTAAAGTAGGGTTCTCCAAAGTGGTTGCTATTGACCCCCAAGGGTCAATGAGACTATCCAAGGGGTTGTCGTTATTCATAGTACTGTTAGTTAAAGTAGTATTTATTAAATTATTTTCATATAATAAATGTTTGTATTCAGATACATTAAATCCTTGCCTTGTCCTTTTTTTAAAAAAAAATTTTCTGTGCCAGGACTAGATGCCCCCAGCCAGATCGAAGCAAAGGATGTTACAGACACTACTGTACTCATTACATGGTTCAGACCCTTAGCTGAGATTGATGGAGTTGAGCTGACTTATGGGCCCAAGGATACCCCAGGGGATCGCACGTCCATTGACCTCGCAGAAGATGAAAGCCAGTATTCCATTGGAAATCTGAAGCCACACACTGAATATGAAGTGACACTAGTGTCTCGGCGTGGAATTATGGAAAGTGACTCCGTCACTGAAACATTTGTCACAGGTATGAAATGTTTTTTATTTTGCTGTGTTTTTAAGTGTGTTACTACTCTGTTCCAATTCTCTGGTTTTCAAACTCCCTATCCTTGGAGAACTACCTTGATTATTTATATGGTTGACTATTAAAAACCTGCTTTAGAAACCTGGCACTTTGTGGATCATTCTGGGTCATTTTAGGGAGTGTATTTAGTTAAGTTTTCTGGATATTACGTTTCTTTACATGATCTGCAATTAATTCTTGCTTCAGTTATTTCTACGGATGCTCCCAATCTGATATTAGGGGACAAGAGCATTCAGGAAGTCCATACCAACTTTTAAAACTGATAGCTGATATAGTGATATAGTTTTCTGCCATATGGAAACATAGGTGTTGTAGAGAGTAAGGAAGATGACTTTGATGGAGATACGCAAGCTCCATTGTCTAGGCAACAAGAGGTAAAACATTTTCTTAAGTCCAGAATGTCCAGATAACGTTTGGAAGAGGCTCAGGCAGACACTGCCTTGATTCACTGGAGTATAAGAGGAGGTCCGGCACAACCAGACTTGCAAGGTTCTATTATTATAGCCAGCCTCAATAAAAGTAGTTTTAGCATTCCTGTGGAGCTTATTTTGTGGTCTGGTCTGCCAAGTGGGGCTGACAGGTATTCATCTGTGTTCCTAATTTTTGTTAACAGAGAACATTAGATTTCTTTTTCTCTTTCTCCCCAGATCTGGATGCTCCCCAAGATCTGAAACGCATCTCTCAGACAGACCGCACCATCACTCTGGAATGGAAAAACAGTCAAGCAATGCCAGATGTTTATAGAATCAAATATGCCCCCCTCTCTGGTGGAGATCATGCTGAGGTCACAGTGCCCAGAAGCACCCAGGCTACATCCAAAGTTACACTCTCTGGTAGGATGCTGGAAGGCTCTGAAGTTGTTGCCCAACTGACGCCAATCTAAATTCATTCATGATATTGAGGGCAGGCAGTTGAGTGATATTTCTTTGATCACATGATAGAAGGTTCCTGTATCAACCTGTCCATTCAATGAGATCAGAAGGAGTTTCTGTCCCTTTCTTTCTGGGAGAAGGGTTAATTTACCCACCACCACACAGGGCCTTCTCTGGGGTGGTGCTTGCTTTTTGGAATAACCTCCCAAGAGAGATACAGCTGTCATGGGCATTATGCTCTCTTTGGGGCCAGGTTAAAACCTTATTTTCATAAACACGTATAGTTACTTCTCCTGTTTTAAATTTATTTTAAATCCAGGCGATACTAGACTTTAGCATCTTGTTCTGGTGCATTTTTGTATTCTTGTATTTAATTACATTGTTAATATTGGAACTCACTCAAATGATGTCAGCAAATTTGAAGATGGAATGAATATGAATGAATGATGGTTTATTAGTAGCAATATTAATAATTACCAACTCTTTAAGGCCTGAGACCCGGAACAGAATACGGCATTGGAGTAACTTCAGTGAAAGAGGACAAAGAGAGCGTTCCTTCCACCATCAATGCTGGAACTGGTAAGCAAGTATTATTCTTCATTACACAAGGAGGAAGGGAGGGAGGAACCCCCTGTGAAGGATTCTGAGGCTGGTTTAACAAGCTACAATAGACTTTGGACTGTAGGCACAGAAAAGAATATTAGACTGCAATACAGGGATCAATGGTTGGCTAACAGGATGGTTTTCCTTTGCTTAACCAGTGCAGGCATTAATGCTAAGAACCTGGCCTTGAGATGTCTAAGCTTCCACTTCCCAACCTAACACATTGGTACCACTGTTTATAAGGTGGAGAACATGTTCTCCAGACCTAAATTCAAACATAGTTCCTTACAGTCTTTATCTGCTGTATAGAATGGGGAATATCGATGACGGATCCTCATCCCAAGGTCTAAGCAAGAAAGGTAGTTTCCAAAGTGGGGTTCTTTCAGTAGGGCTTGAAGATAATTAAATGTGCATTTATCCTCTTTCTCTGCTCTGGTTAATGTCTGTTCTCAAGTCTTGGCAGAAGGAGCAAAGATCAGTTTGCTCCACAGCTGTGTGGGCAAATGAATGATGGCTCTATGTTTTTCATTAAGGTTATCCAAAGAGCCCCCCTCCTTTTTTTTTTCTTTGATATAATTCACAGAACTGGCCCAGAGGTTCCAACTCAGATTGAAAGATAACTTTCTGACTGGTCAAAAGATAATTATAGGGGAAACTGCATTAGACTCTTCAAAGAAGTGAGCCAAACCAATGAAGCTGGTGGAAACACAGAGAGAAAGAGGGAGGTCTTGATAGAGCTGCATTTCTGAGCCAGAGTTAAGCCTGAACATGCAGTTTAGTCCACCCAGCGTCCTTTTCCCTGACATCAGCTTTTTTCTAATTTGGCATAGAGCGGGAAGGGAAAGAGGGAATTGGGACAAGAACAGGACATGCATTTCTAGCTCATCTCCTTCCCACTTAAGACAGCCTCTAACAGTATGTTGGGTTGGGCTAAATGCCACTGGTTCAGTTGCGGCTAACCATTGACTGTCCATTTTGAGCCATGGGCTTTCATCTGCTCGCTTACCGCTGCATCTTACGTAAAGAAACATGTTCCCCATGGTGCGTATGATCGGGAACCAAATTAAAGGATCTCTCTGGGTTTCCTGATGGATTTCTTTTTCCTGGGCAACCTGTTCCATTACACTGCCATAAAGCCAAAAAGCAACTTTCTTCTCACACACAGATCTGGATAGCCCCAAGGATTTGGAGATCACTGACCCTACGGAAACTGCTTTTACTTTACGCTGGAAACGACCCCTGGCCAAAATTGATCGTTACCGCCTTATTTACGTAACCCCGCTGGGGAAGAAGAATGAAATTGAGATTCCAGCAGAGAGCACATCTCACATCCTCAGGTCGCTAGAGGCTGGAACAAAATACACCATCACCCTTGTGGCTGAAAAAGGCAGGCACAAGAGTAAGCCTACTAGTGTTACTGGTTCTACAGGTATGTGAGAAGGTTTATCCCCAGCCATATCTGCTGACCGATCTGTTAATCACCTACTTTTCTTGTCTGCCACTGTGGGGAATTTGTCTACTCTAGGTGCATTAAGGAGTAGGGAGATACCTTCCCAAGCATTCTTCCTCAACCTTGGCCTCCTCCAGATGGGTAAACTTCTACATCCATATTTCCCCTTGCAGAGAATTCTAGCAGTTGAAGTCCCAAACATCTGGTCGGGGGAATCCTATTGAAAAAAAGTGATTTTCTAAAGGGGGATATCTCCATTGCAACGCCTTTCATGCTAATTCATCTTGCAAGCCAATTCTAGAAAGCAACTTTCTAAGTATTCTGCCACCTCCTAATCATTTTGTGTACATTTTTTTAGATTTGTCAAATCGAAACACGTAATGAAGTGGGGAACAATCCTGCTGTAAAGGGCTGGCTTCAAACGTCATTTTTAGTTTCAGAAATACCTCTAGCTATCTTATCGTTCTCATGGGCACTTTTAGAAAATAAAATAGAAAAGTGAGCAATATCCAGGGCTTGGAGATGAACCAGCCTGTCCATGAGAAGGACAGACTAAGATAAGATGTTGGGGAACAATAGTTCTAGGAGGAAGAGAAGAGTCATGTTAGTCTCTGGTAGCCCCAAAACAGGATGAGACTAGTAGCCCCTTTTCAGACTAACATTTTTTTTATTTAAAAGGCATAAGATTTTGGGAACTGTACCTCATTTCATCTGATGCCTTGTCCCTTCCTCATCCCAATTCAAATCCTACATCAGTTTAACCGCTCCATGCCTGTAACGAAGCTCAGAAAAGCTTGTGTCTCTCAATAAACATTGTTAGTCTGAAAAAGGACTACCAGTCTGCTTCCAATCCTGGCTGAGAAAGTAGAGCCAAACTACCATAAAACTGCAAGTTAAAAAAAAAAAAGACTTCTTTTTTGGGGGGAAATCAACAACATTCTGAGCTAATCATGTAACAGTCCATTGTTTGGGACATAAAATGTCAGAATCACCTGATTCTAGTTATAATCTACATGAGATAGCAAAGCTATGCAGAAGAAAAAAATCTGCTACTCCAGGACCTTAGTTCCAGTTTTAGTAGTCTGCGTAGTTGAAGGGGAAAGAACATCAAAATTTCACTCTGTACAATTTACGAGCTGTGTGTTAACATGCAAATTAACATCTAGCCATTAATTCCTTCCCCCTCACATCCTTTATGTTATATGTTTTAGCAAACTACGTATATACATAAGTACTGTATGTCTGTAAAAAGTGATCATTTGAATGGGTGCATTAGAGGAACCCCCCACATTCACATCTGGTTTCTGGAACTGAGTAACTAACCCAAAACTGAGTAATACTCATTTCTCCCCCTTGAAAATTAGCATATACACCACACCCAAACTAAACCTAGGTTTTTAGTCCAGGCGTCCAGGTCCACTCTGTGTGATACAAACCATCAAGAAAGAAGCGTTTCCTTTGATGATTTTCCCAGACCAAAATCCAAAATGGCATATTCCATAAAATCTAGATGAAAGAAAGATTCGGGTACGTGGAGAAAGCTTGTAGCCAAGGGAGGTGCTTGGGGAAGAAAACATATGAGCCATTATAACCACACACATAGATGGCTGTCAGAGGGCGATACGTGTTCCTTATTTTCCATCTCTTTTTCACTCCAAGCGTGTCCCTTTTAGGTGAGGAAGATCCAGGTTATTTTTTAAAACATGCGTGAACTTTTAAAAAGCTTGCCTACTTTCTAGAAGGAAAAAGAAAGCAGAAGGCAGACGTTAGCCTATCCTACAGAGAGTTCTAATGTTTACAGAAGCATCCACTTCTCCACAAAAAAAACGACGCTAATGTTGGGGGCTAGCTGCAGAAGAACTGACTTCTATTTCCTTTACACAGTCAAGGACCTCAGCTGACTATTTTCTTTTTCCTATGAAGCAAAGAGCTTGACAAAGAAGAAAAAATATTTCCCACTTTTGTTCCCACTTGGGAAGCTGAGATGCACTTAGGAGCTAGTAGCCAACAGCTATGAAAATAGTCTATACCAGTGTTTCTCAACCTTGGCAATGTGTGGACTTCAACTCGCAGAATTCCACACATCTTAAAGTTGCCAAGGTTGAGAAACATTGGTCTACACCCATAAGAGCAAGTAATGCATTTAAATCACCTTCAGTTAATACATGGGGCAGAATGGGACAGAATGGAACTTGTAGAACTTCTCCTTCTCCTTCTCCTTCTCCTTCTCCTTCTCCTTCTCCTTCTCCT